TCCCTTTCCACCTTAGCTTTTCGTTCGATACAAAGAAAGGTAGAGTATGTCCCTTGTACACAATATGATATTTATATCTATTATCAATACAAATAATTACAACAAAATAATTACAAAAAATTCCTTTTCTCTTTCTAAAAAAAACCTCTCATCGACTAAGAGTTTTCCGATTAGATCTGGCTTCTTGGCCGATGGATGTGGGCTTCCATAGCCACGTCATCGCTTCAGTTTGTGTTCTACGTTTTTTTTTAGTGTTTATGTATATATTGTGTCTAGATCTATGTTTTCCGTTTTATCGGATAGGTTTCCTGCTTGACCGATTGTTTTTCCAGCGGGGTCCGGGTTTTGCAAGCTTCGATCTCTTTCCTATCTTTGTTTACTGTCGTTGAGATTTCCGGTTTTCTTCTAAATTTCTCCGTTTTTCTCCAACCTCTCGAGGAGTAATATCTCTGTCATTCTCCTTTTGCTCAAGACGCATGAGCAAAGTTGGAACAAGTTTACATCAGTATTTGGGTGTAACGGTGATGGAGCTTCCCCGGATTTGGTGATCTTCGGAGGAGTTTTGAAGTGGATTGAAAGATGTATTCAGATGATTTTGGCGCTTTCAATGTTGGGATTTGAGATCGGCAGAAGGGGGGAAGGATTCTCATCGTGTCGTAGATGATTGGTGGCGGCTAATTGGAGATCGACGGAGGTCCGGTGATGGTCCAGCAAAGATTAACGGAGTTGCTTGATGAAGTAGACGCGTGGTTTAGTTTGGCAAAGATGGCCACGTGTTTTTAGCTAAATCATAAATGTGCTTAACATTATCTTTTTATTAATTATGGTTTAGTTTTCAATCTATTAATTTTCGCAAATCCTTCTTGGACTGGGCCCTTCTGTTAATGCCCATTGGGCTTTATCAATAAAAATGTGTTGCCGTCAACAAAAAATTTCTCAAAAAAAAAAACGCTAGATTCAAACATGATTTAGTGAGATGGAAACAATTTCAATCTTGTTCTGAACTCAATTAA